GCACAAGAACAGACCCGTAGACCAGCAGAACAGAATAGAAAGCCCAGAAATAAGCCCAGGTCTCTATGGGCAACTAATATTTGACAAGGGGGCAGAAGCATAAACTGGAGCAATAATAGCCTCTTCAACAAATGGTGTTGGGAGTGCTGGACGGCTACATGCAAAACATTGAAATTGGATCATCAGCGGACACCATACACAAAAATAAACTCAAGATGGATAAAAGACTTAAACAGAAGTCGCAACACCATCAAAGTCCTAGAGGAGAACATTGGCAGGAAACTCTCAGATATCCCACACAGCCATTTTTTCACTGATATGTCTCCTAAAGCAAGGGACACAAAGGAAAGAATAAACAAGTGGGACCTCAGCAAAATAAGAAGCTTCTGCACGGCTAAAGAAAACATCAGCAAAATGAAAAGGGAGCCAACCATTTGGGAAAATATATTTGCTAATGATACATCAGATAGAAGTTTGATCTCCAAGATATATAAAGAACTCACTCAACTCCACTCCAAGAAGACAAACGATCCAATCAAAAAATGGGCAAAGGACCTGGGCAGACGCTTTTCCAAGGAGATACAGAGGGCCCAGAGACATTTGAAAGGATGCTCAGCATCACTAGCCATCAGAGAAATGCAGATCAAAACCACCATGAGGTACATCCTCACACTGGTCAGAAATGCCATCATAAACAGATCAACAAACAACAGGTGCTGGCGAGGCTGTGGAGAAAAGGGAACATTAGTACATTGTTGGTGGGTATGCAGACTTGTGCAGCCATTGTGGAAAGCAGTGTGGAATTTTCTCAAAAAGCTGAAAATGGAACTGCCTTTGGATCCAGTAATTCCCCTGCTGGGACTATACCCTAAGAACACCAAAACGCCAATTCCAAAGAACCTATGCACCCCAGTGTTCATAGAAGCACAATTTACAATAGCCAAGTGTTGGAAGCAACCTAAATGCCCATCAGTAGATGATTGGATCAAAAAACTATGGTACATTTACGCAATGAAATACTACGCAGCAGAAAGTAAAAAAGAATTACTAAATTTTGTGACAGCATGGATGGAACTAGAGATTTATGCTAAGAGAAATAAGCCAGGGGACGAAAGACAAATACCATATGATCTCACCTATAAGTGGAACCTAACCAATAATACAAAGATGCAAGGAAAATAGGACCAGCAACACTGAAAGGAAAAGAAACCAACAGAGACAAGCGGGAAGGGGGGAGTGGGGGAAAAGGAAGGGAAGGGGAAAGTCAAGGAACATATAGCAAGGAGTCATGGACAAAACCAAAGGGGAAGAGTTGAGAGAGGTAGGGAGGGAGGGGTGAAAGAGGGAGGGAGTGCGCAAGGGAAAGTGGTGGGGAGTAGGCAGAAACAAATGTATTTGAAAAAATAAATTAATTAATTAAAGAAAAAAAGAAAGAAATTAAATATAAAATAAAAAATTACAAATCACCAATTGTTTGTAAATTAAACAACAAGAATGTCAATATCCCAAGTTTAAAAAAGAGATCAAAAAGGAAATTTGAAAATAAGTAAATTGAATTTAAAAAATAAATAAAACAAAGTGGGGAATATAATTTTTAAATGCATTTATATATTAAAATGTATAACAGAAAATATTCTGTCAAATCAGTGGTCTAAATTACCACATTATGAATGTATGAGGAGAAAATAAAGTTTTCTTTACAATTAAAGATGGTACAATATTTGCAAATAAATGTAATACATCACATAAACAAAAAGAAAGACAAAAATCACAGATCATATCAATAGATGTGGAAAAAGCATTTGATAAGGGACAGTTCCCATTTATGATAAAACTGTTCAGCAAAGTGGGAGTAAAGGGGACATACCTCAACATAATAAAGGCCATATATGAAAAACTTACAGTCAACATCATACTCAATGGGCAAAAACAAAGCTTTCCCACTATGATCAGGAACAAAACAAGGATGTCCTCTTTCATCACTTAGTATTGAAAGTCCTAGCCACAGTGATCAGACAAGAAAAATAAATAAAAGGCATCCAAATTGGAAAGGAGGATGTAAAACTGTCATTGTTTGCAGATGACATGATAGTGTACATAGAAAACCCTACAGACTTCACCAAAAAAATACTCAGCCTAATAAGTGAATTTGGCAAAAGAGTGGGATACAAAGTCAGTAGTCAGAAATCAAAGGCATTTTTGAGCATCAACAATGAAATATCAGAAATCAAGAAAAAGAACCCATTTGCTATAGCAATAAGAAAAATAAGTACCTAGGAATAAATCTAACCAGGGAAGTAAAAGACCTGTACTCAGAAAACTATGTAACACTGATGAGGGAAATAAGGGAGACACAAATAAATGGAAGCATAAACTGTGTTCATGGATTAGAAGAATTAACATAATCAAAATGTCCATACTACCCAAAGCAATTTATAGATTCAACATAATTTCTATTAAAATACCAATTAATACCAATGATATATTTCACAGATATAGAACAAACATTTCCAAAATTTATATGGAACCATAAATGACCTCAAATAGCTGTAGCAACATTGAGAAAGAAGAACAAAGTAGGAGGGATCACAATATCTGACATCAAACTATTTTACAAGGTCACTGTAATCAAAACAGTCTGGTACTGGCATAAGAACAGACACATAGATCAATGGAACAGAATAGGGAGCCCAGAAGTAAACCCATGTCTCTATGGTCAATTAATATTTGACAAAGGGGGCAGAAGCATAAAATGAAATAAAAATAGCCTCTTCAATGAATGGCATTGGGAGATATGGACAGCTACATGAAAAAAAAAAAAGAAAGAAATTCGACCACCAACTTATACCATACACAAAAATAAACTCAAGTTGGATAAAAGTCACAACACCATAGAAGTCCTAGAGGAGGACATAGGAAGGAAACTCTCAGATATCCCACACAGAAATATTTTCACCAACATGTCCCCTAGAGCAAGGGACATTAAGGAAAGAATAAACAAATGGGACTTCATCAAAATAAGAAGCTTCTGCATGGTTAAAAAAATCAACAAAATGAAAAGGGAGCCAACTGTATGGAAAAATATATTTGCCAATGATACCTCAGACAACGGTTTGATCTCCAAAATACATAAAGTACTTCCATGACTGCACACCAGGAAGACAAACAATCCAATTAAAAAATGGGCAAAGGACCCAAACAGACACTTCTCCAAGGAGGACATACAGAGGGCCCAGAGACATATGAAAGGATGCTCAGCATCACTAGTCATCAGAGATGCAAACTAAAACCACAATGAGATTTCACTTCACATCAGTCAGAATGGCCATCATAAACAAATCAACAAACAACAAATGCTGGCGAGGTTGTGGAGAAAAGGAAAGCCTAGTACACTGTTGGTGAGAATGCAGACTAGTTCAGCCACTGTGGAATACAGTTTGGAATTTCCTCAAAAAACTAAAAATGGAACTGCCTTTTTACCCAGCAATTCCTCTGCTGGGATTATACCCTAGTTCAAAAGAATTTATGCACCCCAATATTCATAGCAGCACAATTTACAATAGCCAAGTATTGGAAGCAACTTAAATGCCCAATAGTAAATGAGTGGATCAAAAAAAAAAAAAAACACTATGGTACATTTACACAGTGGAATACTACACAGCAGAAAGAAAGAAAAAGCTATTACCCTTTGTGACAGCATGGATGGAACTGGAGAACATTATGTTAAGTGAAATAAGCCAGGCGGTAAAAGACAAATACCGTATGATCTCACCTACAAAGTGGAACCTAATCAATAAAACAAACAAGCAAGCAAAATATAAACAGCAACAGTTAAATAAAAAAAATTAAAAAATAAACTGACAATAATCAGAGGGGAGAAGGAAGGGGGTAATGGGAGAAAAGAAGGGGCAGGATCATCTAGGAACATGTATAAACGACCCATGGAGAAAACCAAAATGGGGAAGGATTGAGAGTGGGAGGTGGGGGTGGGTGGGGCAGGGGAAAGTGGTGGGGGGAAAATGGAGACAAATGTATTTGAACAACATTAAAAAATTTTAAAAATATATAAAAAAGAAAAAATATTTAAAAAGAAACTATAAAGAGAAAAATAAATACAGTAAGCACACAACACAGAAACACACACACTCACATATGCATGTGCATACACAAGTAAACACACAAAAGGAACTATATAAGAGCAAAATCAATTATATAAAAAGGTTAAAAATAGCTAAATTAATAAAGCAATATAGCTGATTCTTAAAAAAAAATCAATAAATTTACCCAACATAACTAAATTGACAAAAAAATTTAAAAGAAAATTACCAAGATTGGAAATAAAAGAGAGGAAATTACTATGAGTACTGTAGAAATAAAATAAATTCTAAGGATTATGATGACTAACATCATGTTTACAAATCTGGCAAATTAAAATGGACAAATATCTATAAAAAATATATTATCAAAAAATTAAGTAAAGAAATATTTAAAAATAAAATAAATGTAATACAAGTTAAAAAAACAAATCTTAAACTTGTTCAAAAAGAAAGGCCCAAAGTCAGATGGTTTCAATAGCAAATCTCTTGAATAATTAAAGAAATAATAACAATTCTTCATAATTGTATATTCATAAAAATACAGAGAGAGGAGAAAAATCTCATCTCATTCTAAGAAAAAAACCTCTTTGATCATGAAAAGGTATCTCAAAAATGTTCTAAGCTAGATCACAGATATGAGGGCCTATAGATGGATCTTTTCTCCATAGTCAAATTTTTGCATTGCAATTGATACATTAATTTAAAAATAAAACAAGATTTTTCCTTGTTACTCATTCATACAGTTATTCCTATAACCTCTGAAATGTATGCAGGAAAATTTTGCTGCAAGACCGTGGGAACCTCAGTGTCACCACCAGAAACAGCCCAGCCACACAGCAGAGCAAGAAACTTAATCCTTATTTTTTTCAAGTTCAGATGCTGGGGTTTCTTCCCAAGTCTTACCTGCAGCATCTCCCTTGTTGACCCCTGCAACCGATGCTCCAGATCTGAGATGAGATCTCTCAACAACTGGCTCTGCTGCACCTGCTCATTCTCAGACTGTTCCAGGACATGGAGAATCTCTCTCTTTTCCTTCTCCAACTTTTGCAGTTCTTTTTGCTCCTTATTGTACAGGATGGCTCTCAGTTGTTGAAAACAATCCTGGATACTTTGGGTCTCATTTTTTATTTGATTCTTCAGGAATGAGAAAGACAGAGAGGGACTCAGGCTATCAGGCAGAGACTGGGAGCCAGAGAAAAGAAGTACTTGATGTGGAAGTTCTCACAGGGAAGGGAGATGGAAGCAGGGGAGCAATGCTTGGGGAAGCTGATTTTTCCTATTACTTTTTCTTCATCACATTCCAAAGTAATGGCCTCAAATTTGCACTATTCAGTCCAACCCTGAACCAAAATGGGACACCTGGGTGTGGCTCAGCTTTCGCACAGCTGCCCAGGACAGTCATGCCTCCTGCATTACTCCTCAGCCCAACACCCTCGGCCTTATATTGAGAACCAGGAAACAGAATCCTGAGACATTGGTAATTGTTTTCCGCTGGAAGAGTTAAAGGCTCAAAATAATGACAAAAATGAACACAGAAGTCACTAGCAATCCTTACCAGAGAGTCTCTCTAAGAATAGCTAACCTACGAATATCTGTGTTAATTTGTGACAGGTTCATTTTCAGTCTCACCTCTCTCATGAAAAGGATAAAGAATGATTAATCAATGACTCTGGACATATCAACTCTCAGGAAACAGAAGAAAAGGAGCTCCTTGGGACTAAGACTCAATGACCTTCCCAAATCCTTGTCTAACTCCCTCAGGAAGAGTCTCCTCCTACCTCCCAGGAAGTTCTCTCCTCTCTGATGTCAGCTTTCAATTTCTCAGCTTTCCGCTCTTCAGCCTTCAGCCTTTTCAGAGCTGCCTGGAGTTTCTCCTATGAGGAGGAATCACACCAGAGTCAAGCTATGGGCTTTCTCAGCATCAGAAAAGAGGACAAATGGGGACAAAATCAGACTGAAAACTGAAGAAACTATAGTATACAGTAACTATGAAACAGTAATTAGAATCTGTGACTTCAAGGAAACATGATGTGGTGAATATTTTCTCTAAGACTCAGGTGATAGAAATCACCATTTCCATGTGAGGAGAAGACTGATTCTCTGTGTCCTAGAAGAAGAAATGTGATCCTGTAGTAAGGAAAAAATTTAGTGTCGGTCAATCCACCCACCTGCCCACTTACCCCTCCTGTTCAAAGGGGCAATGACAGCTTTGCTTGGACACCAAACCTCCACCTATTAGCGCAAGCTGTAAAAAGCTTCTACTTTTGGTTTTTAGTCTCCATGTCATTTTGTAGTTGTGTGGAATGCACAGAAATGTCCTTCAGGCTTTGGAAGGTAAGCATAGGAAGAAATGTGATCCCAGGCCTCAAGAATACATTGGTAAGGAAATTAGAAACAAATACAAAGTAAAGATTTACCATCAAGTGCTATTTTCTGCCCAGACTTTCCTCCATCCTGTTACCTGGTACTCCTGGGCAACCTCCTCCATGAGGAACGTGTGGTGACCACGATGCTTCTGAGACCGCTCGCAAAGCCAGCAAATGAACTTCCCATCCTCCTTACAGAAGAGCAGGAGCTTCTCTCCATGGTGCACACACAGATCTGTCTTTTCCTCCTCCTCTGGGTTCAACTTGACATTTTGAAGCATCTCCACTATGTTGGACAAATGCCGATTAGGCCGCAGGTTCCCAGGCTGATAACTGATTCGGCACACAGGGCAGCTGCTCTCTTCTCCTTGGCTGATCAAGGACTCCTTATTGTTTTTAGTGATACAGGCTTTGCAGAAGCTGTGCCCACAGTCCAAGCTCAGGGGTTCTTTCAGGAGCTCCAGGCAGAGGGGGCAGGTCACCTCCTCCTTCATGTTCGCCAGGACTTCTGAAGCCATAGCAGCTGCTCCCCTGTTCCTATTTGTTCTGATGTCCAAAATTTCTCTTGCTCACAGATCCTGGCCTGATGGAAAGGGTTAAAAAGGAACAGAGTAAAAAAGGTAAAAATAATTGATGTTAATTGTGTGGAAATCAAAGTGGGCAGAAACCAAAATTGAAGGGAAAAAATAAGGGAAGCAAGGAAAGAAGTTGGAAACCTGGAATAAAGGTTTTGCATAAAAATTTCAAACACTTAACTTCTGGCTTATCTCAAATGACAAATTACAACCTTATATATGAAACTGTTGTTATTTTAATTATTTTACTGAAAAAACTTGATCTGACATTTTTCCTACCAAGATCTTTGTATGACCCACTATCACTGTTGATTCGTCTTTCCTAAGCCAAACACGTACTCAATGATAAAAGCACCAAACCACTCGTGCTTCCTGGCTTTTATACCAGCTCCCCTCTCAGCGTGCAGTGATGGCACTGGTATAGTAGGACTCACTCTCTTCCTGACATGTTTGTTTATCGGAAAAGTCTGCTTTGATTTTATTGTTTACAGTTTAACCATTGTCATCCCTTGTTGAACATTTATAGCTTCTCCTATTATCATGACATACTATGTGACAATGTCTTTGCATACATGACAAAAGTAAACTATCAGATGAGCACATAGAAATAGTGAGTGCATTTAAAAAAATCATTATCTTCAATATACAGAGTTGAAATGAAACTAACATATTTGGGATATCCCTCTTCAGATAACAATTCCTACACGACAGAGTCAACCAATGACAAACTGAGGTAACATCATTGACCTCATTAATAACCAAATGGCGGAAGGTGTGGTAGTGAAGGGATACAGACCAGCTAGGAGGTTTCAGAGAGACTCGTACTTGTAAAGAATGAAATTTCAGCTTGGCCTGGAAGTATGCCAAGGACATTTACAGGAGGCAAAATGTGTGTATGAATGTGGATGGTAGGAAGGGAGACATATAAATATACTCGCAGGATTCAGTCACATATCTAAGAATAGAGAAACACAAATGAAATTAATGTTGGTTTTGAGAAAAAAAGTCTCAAAATATTAGGAAATATGATTCAACCAGTTATCACAGACAATGAATTACATGCTAATAACTGGACTAATATTCATAAACACAAAGATTACTTTAAACAGAGGGCTTAAACCACTAGGACCTTGACATTCACCTGGAAATAAAGAGTAAATTAAACAATCAGTTATATATATATATATATATATATATATATATATATGCAAATGACATGATGTGAAAAACACTAAAAGAGAGGTGCACATTTCCTCAATAATCGGGACAGATAAAGAAAGGGTTGCCCAACAATTTCAACTTGAAAACATAACGGTTGAATGGACCGATGAAAAAACTGAGGGAGAGAAAAAAAGTATTAGGTAAACGAAAGGACCTGTTTATGGAAGATATATGTCACCTCGTCTTAGTTTGTAAATGCTAGTATGACTGGTGTGCAGAAAACTGCCAGGTCTTTGATATCATGTGGCCTTCAGTGACCATGATATATGGCATTTCCCCAATATGTACCATTTAGGTATTCTTTTCCAGGAACAAAAGAAATTACCCATATTTTCCCACCAGAGGCCACAGGGAATATAATTAGCTCTACACTTTATGGGCTGTACAATGTTAGTGGATGTAGCTGAAAGAGGGGTTCTATGAATAGTTACCTCATAGGGTGATCTGATCATAAATTCCTAACTGGGCAAGTCACCCCTCAGGCATATAACTTCTTTACTGAAAGGATTATCTTTGCCTTAAGCAAGACCTGTGCATTGTTTCTGTGCATTTAGGTTTAGCACACCTTTGAAAGGCCTCTTTTGAAGCTTCTTAGAAGTGAGGCCACCCTCAAGAGAGCACACAATTGACTATCCTGTAATTCCTGCCTTTCTTTTGCCAACTTTTGTGTAATCTTCCTTACCATCTTCCTTAAGTTAAAAGAAGGCTAAAAGAAGCTAAAAACTGCTTTTCTACAAAGTATTTTTTTCAGTCTGCTGTGGTTGTGTTTCCAGGCACATCCTCTGTTTGGCTCAAATAAATCTTTTTAAAAACTCTACAAGTTTTGCCATTTTTACTTTGACCGTAGAATTTGGAAGGTGAGTAGGATGCATGCACCATTGCCCAGGGGAGAAATGATGACAAGTTCCAGGACAAGGAGATAAAAGAAGTCAAGAGCAGGGGATTAGAGTAAGACATACCATGAGGTAAAAGAACAGGAGGGGAGTTAGATATGTGGAAATGAAAGGTCAACATCAGGTCTGGGTTCTTTATTCCTGTAAAGGTAAAATTAACTTACTCGTCTAGTAAACTGGTTTTGTTGTTGCTTTTTCGGGGAGGGGGAGAGTAGTGGGGGTAACCTACTGGGTTACAATAAAGTGGAAGGTCAGCTGACTTGCAAGGCCACATCACAGATAGTAAAAATGAACAAATGTGTAAAATGCATTTGGGCTACAGAGACTTTACATAGACCTTAAATGCCAGTTAGCATAGACCTTAATTTTCATAAGTGGCATGTAACTCATAACTTACATGTTTCTTTTAGGCTCCTGGAAGTTGTGTTCATGGGCTTTTTGAAGGTAATTGGTCCTTTATAATCACTAGGCTTACATAAACCATGCTAGTTTGGTTAGTGACAAAAATGGTACCAGTTGTTAACTGGTAGACCTTGGTTCGGCAGCCTAGGTACTTGATTTCTGGCTAAGAGAAGCATTCAGAACCACAACTCAAATTATAAACAAAAGTTTATTTAGAAAATCACAGAGGTAGAAGAAGGGAACCATAGGCAAAATGGCTCAGGAAACAAGTTACAGAGGCAAAAGTAGGGCCCTTGGAGCTTAGGGGAGAGAGAGAGAAGAGAGACATGTGCCTGGAGAGATGAAAGAAGGGCAAAGGAAAAAAGGTTCAGGCCTGTCCAAAAGAGAGATAAAGATCCCTGGAAAAGAAAGAGGCGGGGAAAGCCTCAGGCAAGCTCCATAGAGAGCGAGCCTCATTGGGCCCCCGTTCCTGAGGGCTTTTTTCTGAATTCTCAGCTGAGGATCTCAATAGAATATTCATCAGCTTTCTTGGTGTGTCTCCTCAGGGTCATGTTTTCCACACATTGATCAGCACTAGAAGAGAGGGGTCATTAGTCATTGCTGCCAGTCCTAATGTCAGCCATGGCATTGCTCTGCCTGGCCTTGCTCCCTTTCTGGGCGTGGAGCTGAAACACACCTGAGGCCTAGGTACTATTTCCAGGGGTTAGGGCACGATCATGCAAGAGATAGTAGTTTCGCCCTTGCTAGGCATCTGGGCTCTCCACCCTGGTGATCCTTTATACCTGGCCCATCATTCCTACTCTGCTCATGCTCATCTTACTGCCTACTACAATTTCACACATATATAGTCAGTCTGCTTCTTAGAAGACAGAAGAGACAGGAATAAAGTACCACCTGCATCTGTAAAAGACATCACTGAGATCACACCCAAAGAACCATGCCAGCATGTCCTGTCTCCTGTTCTCTATCCCCACAGCCTACCCATCCTCCACAAGATGGAGTCAAAAATGAAAACCAAAATTAATTTTAGATGGTAATAAAGAACAAAAAGCATGTATTTGAGGAAAAGGAACTGCAGCCTAGAGATACAGATTCAGGTAGCAACATTAATTGTGTTTCCCTACACAAAGGGAAGGCCAAACTCTGTAAGTCCAAGTTCTACCTAAAATTCCATTTAGATATGTTTTATGTAAATGAGATATCCAAGTAGCAGAGTTTGGTCTGGGGTTATTCCCTGTACACAGAGCAGATGAGAAGCACCCTCTCAGCAAATAACTTTATCACAGTCTAGTTAGGTTATATTACACATCCCCTTCTATTTTTTTACTCTCTCAGCCTAACTTTCCTTCAACACACGCTCATCACTTTTATGATTCTTAATCACTTAGGATGAGTTTCATCATTTCCTTGAAGACTCTAATGAAAACCACCTTCCCACACTGAGACCTAATCTACAATCTATTTAAAATTGCAAAGCTTTTTATCAGTGTTTTATAGATACCTTGCCTAGTTGTAACCTTTTTGATCTATTATTGTTGTTCTTTCTTTGTTTTACATTTATAACATAGTAATTTTTATTTTGTTTTATAATACCCTTCTCTTTCTGCATGTTTACTTTCTCTTTCGTGTCTGGAAATACAATTTTTGTGGGTACTTAACATTTATTGCAGGTTCAATAGAAGTTAATACGGTTTTATACCATAGGTGTATGCACTTGTTCTTGTGATTTTAATAAAATATGCTTAACATTTATAAAAATTTATTTTCTCCTGTATTTTGGGACTTCTGACAGCCCCTGAGGAGTCAATTTATATAGATCAAAAATGGACATGGTGCATATATAAGGCATAGTCTCATGACCTCTGAAAAGGAGAAAAGGGAAATACACATCAAAATATATGTAAAAGAGATATCAGGGTACAAAATGATCAAAGGTGAAATTAACATGGAGTTCTTTCAGTTTTTGGTCAAGATGGCAGTGTAGGTATACATGGTACTCACACTTCCCATAACTGCACAAAAATTAAAATTAAACTACAAAACTACTACCATTCAGAATTGCTTGAAATCTAGCTAAAGAGTTCTATAAACTAAGAATATAAAGAAGAAGCCATACGGAGACTGGTAGGAAGGGCGGAGATGCAGAATGGGCTGGTCTTGTACCCACATGGGGCAAATAAAAATTGCAAGAAAACCTCAGCTTCAGAGGTCCCCCTTGTGGAACTAGAGCCCCACACAAGAACTTTCAACCCAGGTTTCCAGTACCAAGAAGAGAAGTCCCCATAATTTCTGGCTGTGAATACCAGAGGAGATATTGGCTGACAGAGATGGAGGCTTCTGGAGTCAGAGGCATCTCTTCTTAAAGAGTCCACATACAGCCCTGGTTAGTGTGGCTCAGTGGATTCAGGACTGGACTGCGAAGCAAAAGGTTGCTGGTTCAATTCCCAATCAGGGTACATGCCTGAGTTGCAGG